AAGAAAAAAAAGTGTTCCAAAGTCGGCACAGAGACAAAAAAGATAATTTTGTTACTATCTTGTTCTAAGTTAATATGTACCATTAAAACTATTTATGTGAGAATTTCAAAGTTTCATATACAATATAAAACTCTTCTCTAGATATTTATATTTTTGTTTACAGTTATTAAATTTATAATAATATCAATAAAACACAGGCTTTTGCAGTAGGAAATAGTTTAGGGTCATTCAAAACCCTGGACAGTTTCTCAATTTTGGTCGAATCTGATCTTTCCGGGCTAGCTCTTTATCTACTGACAATTTTTTTCCTCCCCAAGATACACATGTTAATAGACTAATTCACTGACTGCCTGTCTAGCTGCATGTCACAATCTGGGTGGCATGTGTTTTTATCCATTTCGTTTTCCAGTACGGATTGTCAACCAAACTTCTGTATAAGTATAGCTTCCTCTGAAGAAAGTTTGCATTGTCCAGTGTCCTTCCTTCCCACCATAGCCATGAGAATGAATACATCTCATGTCACAAACAGACTCATTTCAGTCTTCATGTAATGAGGAGGATATTCTTCTGTTTTGACATGCTAGGAAATCTTTGATGACAGTAGTAAACATACCTTTGCCAAGCATTTACCTCTTTGTTGACAAATTCAATCAAGGCTGCTGTGATATAGGAGACAGCTCTGGTTATGGGGGCAGAAGAATTGGGTTCAAGTTCTAGCCCTATCACATACTAGGCATTTGACGTTTGGCAAGTTAAAAGATCCTCTATCTGTAAATAGAAGGAAATCACTTAATCTCTCCTGTTATATATACCTCACATAAGCAGTGGTAAGGATCAAATGAGATTCTAGATTCCAGATTCCATAAAACATGTTGCAAACTGTCAAGTGTGATATGAATGACAAGATAATTATGGTGAGAATATTTAGAATGGCATCATTCTATTTTCTACCAGCCAATGTAGGATGGGAAACATGCAAATGGGAGAAAAGTGCATGACTTTGCTCATGAGAGAATGAGAGGAGTATACTCTCAGGCTAAGTTGTGATGAGATGAAAGGATACTAGGAGTTTCAACGCCAGGGTCCCTACTTAATCTGGGATGTTATTTGAATCTGGATTTCCACACTATAAAGGCTATCATGAGGAAATGGGTCATGAGATGTGTTCTGTTTGTCCCCACTGAGTGGAATTGAAAGTGATGGGTAAGAATTGGAGAGAGAGATTTAGATTTAATACCTAGAAATACTTTCTAACAAAGCTGTCCAAAAGTGAAGTATACTAGCTTAGCAGATAGGAGTTCCTCCTTTTTTGAATCCTTAGAGCATAGTCTGGACAATGAGTTGTTGCATTAGTTGTAGAGTGGATTTTAATTCAGGTACAGGTTGAACTGGGGGCAGCTAGGTGGTGCAGTGGATAGAGCATTGGGCCTGGAGTCGGGAAGACCAGACATTTACTAACGTACGACCCTGGGTAAGTCACTTCATCCTGTTTGCCTCGGTTTCCTCATCTGGGCTGGAAAAGGAAATGGCAAGCCACTCCAGTATCTTTGCCAAAAAAACAAACAAAACCAAGCAAACAAACGAAAAAACAAATGGGGTCACGAAGAGTTGGATGTGACTGAAAAATGACTGAACAACAATAACGACAGGTTGGAGCAGCTGGCATGTGAGGACCCTTCCAGCTCAGAGATTCTGTGGAAGGAGGTTGGATCCTAAGGAGTCTCCTTTGTGTTTTATCTTCCCCTACTTGGATGTGGTTGCTTGTTGTCCTTCCTTCTTGAAGAGGACCAAAATGACATCACTATGCTAGACTCCAGTTACGATGCATCCAATCGTGGCTGATCAGACCAATCTGAGCTCAGAATGTTCTACCACAGGGGAGGCAAAAATATTCCATGTGAACCTTTGGGGCGGATTCTCTAAATCTGTGCATCTCATGTTTCTTTTGAGCCACTTCAATTCAATACTCCTTCTCTGATGTGGGCATGCCATGCTGAGCAGTCCTGCGCCAGCATTTACATGTAGCACAATCAATTCCGAACTTCTTAAGAGAGACCTTGAGAGTGTCCTTGTATAGCTTCTTCCGAATGTAACATGTATGCTTGCTGAAAAGACTGTTTTATGGAGAGCTCACACAGGGCAAGTGGTCAGATGGTGGTCAGAAGAAGTGATTTGGATATAGTAAGCCCCTTGAAGGGCAGCTAGGTGGCAAAGTGGATAGAGAGCTGGCCTGGAGTCAGGAAGGCTGATTTTCATGAGTTCAAATCTGGCCTCAGGCACTTCCTAGCTGTGTGGCCCTGGGCAGCTCACTTAGCCCTGTTTGCCTCAGTTTTCTCATCTGTAAAATGAGCTGAAAAAGGAAATGTCAAAGTATTGCCTTAGCAGATAGTGGGTGCCTCCTCTTTTGAGTCTTTAGAGCCCAGTCTAGATAATGAGTTATTGAGTGAGCTGTAGAGGAGATTTTAATTCAGGCACAGGTTGGACTGGGGGCAGCTAGGTAGCACATTGGATAGAGTGTTGGGTCAAGAAAACCGTAAATGGGTCATGAAGAGTCTGATGTGACTAAATAACTATAACAAAAGGGAAGGAACTAGCTTGGCGGCCTGTATGTCCATCTGGAGCACTTCACACAGGCCTGGCACAAAGTAAACACTTCTGAAACGCTTGGTATCTGTTGGTTTCTGTCTGGCTGCTTCTGCCCTTGATGCTGCCTAGAATGAATGTCGATTTGGCACTGGAAATAAAAAAAAGAAGAATTTTCATAGCAAAATTGTTACCATGATTTGTAATCAGTTTTACTCTAGCGCCTAAAAGAAGGGCAAACAATCCTGAGGCCACCACCATCCGAGGAGAGCTTGTTTTGCCTGCTGAGAAAATCAACGTGCTGACCAGGAGTTGTTCCGTTAACTCAAGCCATACCAACAGATGGAGTCACTGACGCTGAAAATCACCAACCAGATGAAAATAAAAATGAGAAAAACTTTCAGGAAGTTGACAAAGAGTAGTATCCATCATATCAACAAAATGGAAAGACTTTCCTTTTAGATAAGCCATGCACGACTAAAAACTAAGTAACTTAAATAACCAACCAAAAAACCCCGACAACATCTGGATTAGACTGGGTGTGGAATTGGACTGCCCTGGTTAGCCCATAAATACAAAACTGTCCTTTCCTTGGGGTGTGCACAGTAGAGATTTCCCTACTGAAGGACTTCCTGTTGCTAAGTTTCCTCACTTGTAAAATGAACTGATTGGGGTAGAATTCAGAAATGTCAAACTCTGGCTGCCCAAGTGCCTTGAGCCAGATTTAAAATGTAATTGGGAAGTATCTAACAAAATAAATAAAAATACAATACAAACTACTTAATGTTAATTTGTGGTTTTCTTAATGTTAATTTGTGGTTTTCTAAGTCAATATGCTGCCCAGAGAGTTTCTATCTGAGTTTGACATTGGACTAGATAATGGCTAAGGTCTCTTCTAGCTTTCAAGGTATGTGTATGATATGTACGACTTTTGTGAGTTTATTTGTTGTTGGATATGGGAGGACCAAGTGTGCATATTATCTATACATACTGTTATTGTCCTGCTTTGAGTCTTGTCTTTGTGATTGAAAAACTGAGACAGTCAAAGATGTTACTTGGCATCACTCACTTGAGAGGCAGTTAGTTTGATATCATAAGAGGGAGCGAAGCTGGTAGAGTTGACAGACCATGGCTAGAATCTCAGCTCTGACATTTACATGCTAGGTGATCCAAGGCAGCTAATTTAACATTTTGGAACCTCTGTTTTCACATCTAAAAAGTGAGGGAGAAGAATCATTGCCTTTCTTCTCTCACACTATTGATGTGAGGTAAGTAGTCTGCAAAACTGAAAGAGGGATAGCTGTCCTCACTGAATTGACACCTATAAAGTGTTGTTTTTATGGAAATCAATGCCTGGCAGAGTACTGCCATCCATGGTAGGTACTCAGCAAACCTTGGTGGAGGCTGATGGATTTAATCTCTCTTGCAGGAGGTGCTGGGATGAATTTAACCTAAACAGGTTTTGTGTGAAGATGTGGCCCCATTCTTCTTTTACAAGTGATATTACTGTTTAGTTCTCCTCTGAACATAATGGTGCTGTTGTTTTAGGGATCCTTATGTGTCCATTCACTGTCTAATTCATATCATTCAGGGGCTCCTGCTCCAGATTCCTGCTGGTCCCCAAATCCCTTTCAGAGGGACCAAGAGGTAAAGATAATTTTGACTTACTATGTCTTACTGTTTTGTAATAGTGTACTGAGCCTGAAGTCAGGAAGACCTGATTCAAATCCCAGCTCTGACACTGAGAAGCTGTGTGACCTTTAGCAAGTTACACAGAGACTTCTCAGTGTCTCAGTTTTCTTATCTGTAAAATGGTGATAATAATGCTTTTAGTAGCTAGAGTTGTTGTAAGACTCCCATGAGATAATGCTTGTACAGTGCTTTGCAAATCTTAAAGTACCATACAAATATAAGTTGTTATTTTATGTTACCCTCACGGCTCTTTGCTTTTGAAATTTGCTTCCAGATAAAAATGACTCGTGTGCCATTATTATTACCAGGACAGCCATCCTGAATAACCCTCTTTGCATGGAGTCCCATGTGGTGAGGAAGGAAGACATAGTATCAGCCTAAATAAATCTAATTAGACTGTGTCTCCTCCCTGCCACGGATGGGGCTCTCTTGTTCCCTAAACCTAGCCAGACATAGAAAAATAAAAAAGGTCTATTCCCATTTTGGGAGCAATAAGAATAAAACTAGTCTCTTTTGCCCACAATAGGCTACTGTCATCCAGCAAGGAGATTTTTCATTCTCATATTCTGCTTGTTACTCTCAAGCCCACCTCCATCGGGAAGATGACTTCAGGGAATAGCCAAGTAGCTCTAGATTGCTATGCATTTTTGCTCACTCTCAGCTGTGGACAAATGAAATGCCCCAGGGAGTTGAGAATTGTATTTTTCCCTCCCTTAATTTTTATTTAACTTGTTGAAACAGGATCTTCCAGTGTTGTTCCGTCACGAAACCCAGCAAAATGAGGAAGAGTAGCTCAGTGGAACTGGAGAGAAATGACTTCTCAACCCTTCCCACCCCTCTCCTTTTTTTATGAGAGTAATTTAGGAAGTGCAGTCTAAGAGTCATTAAGTACAGAATCCTATAAACGTCAGAGTGAGTTGTATTCTGCTTTTGTTTGGCTTGCTGAGTGACATACTATACCTTAACTCTGATGAAGAAGCCATTACTGAGGGCCATAAAGGGATCTGCATTAAGGTAAGTTCTCTGAACGGGGATGGATGCTCTGGGAAAGAGGGCCCCTAAAACAGCAGCACCATTTAACCACCTTGTTCAGAGGAGGGGGAAGAGGGGGATTGGAGAGAGACAGCAGGCATCCAATCCCAGTGTCCTTGCATGAGGAGCAATTTAGAGTCTTTGCTTTTGAAGGCTGTAGCTCTTGCTTCTCTCTTACACTTGCAGAATCCCCTGCCCGCTTCCCTAAAAACAGACGGGTGAGAGGCACATAGGGACCACTGATTACCTGTGAAAGCTTTGGTTAGGGGAAGAAGGCAGGAGGACATGGAGGCTAAGTCAGCAGTTGGACAAGCAAGGCCAATGTAAGCCTACCAGGAAGCTGTCAACTCTTTTTTTTTTTTTTTTTAGTGAGCCACTTAGGGTGAAGTGACTTGCCCAGAGTCACACAATTAGTGAGTGTTATGTGTCTGAGGTCGGATTTGACTCCTGACTCCAGGGCTGGTGCTCTATACAATGTACCACCTAGCCGCCCCACCATCAACTCTTTAGTTCTAGTGCATATAGATTATTTATTATGCAAGAAAAGAGTGAGAGGAAAGGTGTTTTTTTTTTTTTTAAATTTTCCTAGTCTGAAAGACTGTAGTGTGAGAGCACTCTTGGACTGACTTGAAGGGGCCTCTTGCAAGCTGGCAATCTTAAAAGGCCAACTAACTTGAGACCTTAAGAGGACATGTTTGTGTATGTGTGTGTGTGTGTGTGTGTGTGTGTGTGTGTGTGTGAGAGAGAGAGAGAGAGAGAGAGAGAGAGAGAGAGAGAGAGAGAGAGAGAGAGAGGGAGAGACACAGAGAGAGAGAGAGAGAAAGAGAGAGAGGCAGCCATCCATGTTTATGGTGCACCTATTGTGTCCTGACCCCTGGGTCTGTTTAATCCCTCTGAATAGAGGCTTCTTAGCTGGAAAAACATAAACTTCTGCTTTCTCCAAACATTTTGACTCTTGGACCTGGCATTACTGCATTCATTGGTGCTCTCGGGAAGTGACTTTGGAACCTTTTGAACAGGCTTCCAACTCAGTTCCTGAACTATACCACAATCTGCGAAAAGACAAAAACAAACAAATAAAAAAACTGATATCCTTGGAGGCTGTGAACTGTTGGGAATGGATGTGAATTTCTTCCTGGGAGAAAAGAGAGAAACAGTCTCTACTCAAAGGTAATAAAACCTAATAATAATTTTTGGGATGTTGTGCTGTGGCCACACAGTGGTGTGTAGATTCAGGTATGAATCAAAGACTTCATTTGTCACTGCCAGTACTAGAACTGTCTCTGCCCCTGACTGTCTGTAATTTAATGTTTCTGTCAGTCTTTAAATGGCATGGTTAGAAGAACTGTAGGGCTCTTAACCCTTTGTTAGCAGTCTTTCATTCAATAAACATTTATCAAAGTATGTCCTCTGTGCAGGGCACTGTGCTGTTAGACTTGAAGCCTTAGTATCAAAAGTAGTCAGAGATCAGGTAGTCCATTTTTACAGATGAGGAAACTGAGGGCTAGATAGGGCATGTAACTTGCCCAGGTCCACCTAGGGAGATAAGTCTCAAAATCAAGATTTGAACCCAGATCCTTTTATTCCAAATCCAATATGTTTTCCATTGTACCAGTCTGCCCCTAAGCTAAGGGATGGTCAAGGTTTAGATAAAATATGGTCAGTGTCCTCATGGGCCTTAATCATGGGAATAATAAAGATATTCAGATGACTAGAAAGCACTATATTACATGTTAACCATGTAAGTGAGGGGGAATAAGGGAGAGAGAAGAAGCTTCCAGTTCCAGCATACTTGAATGAGAAGTAGTTTGAAGACTTTGTTTTTGAAGGCCGTAGCTCTTGCTTTTCTCCCACACTCATAGAGCCCTCATCCCACTTCTCCTAGAAACAGGAGGGTGAGAGGGAGATGGGAACCATTGACTAACTGTGAAAGCTTTGGTTAAGGGAAGAAAGCAAGAAGATATGGAGGCTGAATTAGCAGCTGGACAAGGGAGGCCAATGTGAGCCTACCAGGAAGTTCTCAACTCTGTAGCTCTAGTACTTACAGACTGTATATTGTGCAAAAAAGGAGTGTGAAGAAAGAAAAGTATGTAAGAGAGCTGCAGAGTAAACCTTGATGTAAAGAAGAGCTTCTGAACAGATGAAGCATCCCCAAAGTGGAATGAGTTGCTTCAGGAACTGGTATTTGTCTCCTTCCTGGAAGTCTTCAAGCCAAGTCAGGAAGGCTATTTGTTGGAGACATGTCTAGAATGAGGAATCTCAGGTAGAGGTTGGTCTAGAATTTAGTGCTTCTCAAACTGTGGGTCTTGAAAAATTTGGCAACAGTAAAAGATTTCTGAACTCACAATGACCAAAAATTAATTAAAAATCAAACATGTAATGAAACCAAGGTGTTTCTGGCAGCACTTGCCCATGTTGTGTTGGGCAATGTCACTGCAGCCTTGGTTTTGAGCACAAAGCTTGTGCACTTTGCACTGCATGTGCCCGTGGCCATGCAAAGCCAATAAATGCTGCCAAAACGTGAAAACAGAGTTGTAAGTGGAAAAAGTTTAAGAAGTCCTGGTCTTCATGGCTTCCAAGGGCCCATCCAACTTTAAGATTCTATGGTTACTAGGAGACTTTCCACATAGAGCTATGAAAAATGGGGAGCTAAAGGTGGCATAAATGGGAAGAGTGTTGACTAGGGAGTCAGCAGACAGAATCTTACAACTGGAAGAGCCTCAGATGCTACCTAGTCTAACGCATATCTAAATGAGAAGTCTTCTCTACAATCTACCCCCAAATGGTTATCCTGCCTCTGTCTGAAGACCTTTAGGGAGTGGGAGATCCTCTCACTGCTGAAGCATCTTATTCTATTTTTTTGATTTCTCTAGTTCAGGGTTGGGGACCTTGTGGCCTGGAGGCCACATGTGGCCCTCTAAGTCCTCAAGTATGGCCCTCAGCAAAGGACCATGCTTGAGGACCTAGAAGGGCTGCAAGTAGTTTCAAGACTGCAGGTTCCCCACCTCTGCTCTTGTTGTTGGGAAGTTTTCTTTCCATCCAACCCGAATTTAGCTGATTCCAATGTCCACTAATTCCTTCCAGCTTTTCACCCTGGGCTCAAGCAGAAAAAAATCTGGGTTTGAACCAGGCTATGACCCTTATTTAACTCTATTTGCCTCAGTTTTCTCATCTATAAAATGAGCTGGAATAAGAAATGTCAAATGTCAAACCACTCCAGTATCGTTGCCAAGAAACCTACCAAATGGTGTCACAAATGGCTGGACATGACTGAAATGACAGAACAACAACAACACAACATGGCACTTTAATAAGCATCACAACTAATGTTGTGTCACATGGATCAAATGATGTAATTTTAGTGTTGAATTCCTTGTTTTGAAAATGAGCTGGTTGACCTGGAAGATATATAAAGTCCTTCCTTGGCTTGGCTCTGAGATTCTCAGGCTAGTGTTCAGGGCTACCACAGCTGTGGTTACTTTGCACCTGGCTAATAAAGTGTTGCAGATGAGGTAGGCTATAATGAAGGGCATTCTGGGATGGGATGGTTCCACGCTTTCCTTTATTGATGGGGCAGGCAGGACTCAATTTAATTTAAATGATTCAGCCAGAGCATGTTCTTACCTTTTCCCTCTATACCCTTCCAAATAGCTTTATGGACTTCTAGAATTTTTCTCTGTTGGAGAAATGTCTGCTTGGCTTGGCTTCTTCCTCAATATCCAATGCCTCTCCTTATTTAGGAACAGTAGTGTTGTGTACAAAAACCAGTGCGTTTAAAATAAAAGCACTTGAGTTCTAGTCCCAGTTCTTCTGTCTCCGATTTTTGTGACCTAGGAGAAGTTTACTTCTCTTTCTGGGCCTCAGTTTATCCATCCCTTACATAAGGGAGTTGGTCTAAATGTTCTCTACTGTCCTTCCTAGCTCTCAATCAGTGTTCTTCTGGGGACATCTTTTCTTTCCTTTGTTTGCTGAAGGTAAGGCAGTGATGGATTTAATGGTCCATTTCATTCTTCAGTCCTATTTGCCATTTATCTTCCCCAGCCTCCCCTTGGACTCCTTATGGCTTTCTTGTCTGTCTGATTTAGACTGCAATAAACTCCCTGGACATAGATGGTTTTCTACTTTGCCAAGCTTAAAGCACTATATAAATGTGAGTCATTATTATTAATCTTACTGCTCTTGTTATTAGCACTAGAATTTCTGTTGTAGCTGTACATTGACCCAGAAAATGTTAATATATATACTCATATCTACATATGTACATAAGCTTAAGTCAGCAACTGAGGACATAATCATAAGCCATTCATAGGTTTCATAGCTAAATTCCCAAAGGCAGAATTAAAATGGATCTGGAGCTTTATTTCTATTGGTCCTTCAAACTATGAGTCTAACCTTTGTTTTGTGATGTAACTCAGATGTCTGCCTCACTAAGAGTAGTGGAACTCTGGGGGTCAAATCCTTCCCACTCCCCAGTTGCTGAAGAAGGGAGAGGGGAAAGAAAAGATGGAGGAGGGACTAAAGGAGAAAGTCTTGTCTCCAAGCTGGTCCCAGCAAGAATGGTCTGTGAGACTTTTTTTCTTGTCAGTGACCCAACGGGGAAAGGAAAGCAAGGAGAACAGAGCTCTCCATCCCCCTTCCTGGCTCCATAGCACCATCTATTGCATGTGAATAGGGCAGGACCTGCTTGATTGAAAAATGATTCCTTTCTTGAAAAAGATGCATCATCTTCGCTGACCTTTAGAGCCAGAACTTTGAATGTTGAAGAGGCGTGAAGTTGCCTCTCACCCTCAAAATGGTAGAACTGAGCAGGGGTAGACTGCACTGAGAAGGAATATTACAAAGGGCATGTGACCTGGCAAGACCTTGACTTCTCTCTATTTTCCTTCCTATCGAGAGGCTCTGCTCTTTTCTCCCAGTTTTCTTGAATGGCATTTCCATAGTTCTCTGGTTGCTGAACTGCAGGTCCCTTGTAGGCTGGGAAT